AGAAATCAAATGGACTATATCTGTAGAAAGAGATGGTGGAAAAGCTCCATATCATCAGCCAAAACAAGGCCGGGGTAGATTGTGGAACAGACGATGGATTGTTCGTGTGCAAGTTCAAGGTTGAAGCTCAAGATAATGAAAACAAGTCATGAGAGCCAAAATATGACCTTGAACATATCCCACCTGAATTTGGAGAATATCCTAACAGATTTGATGCATTAGACACTAGAGATAGAAGACCATATAGAGTTGTGGGTTGACATCAAGAACATTATACAGAATGAAAGCAAAAGGTCATTAAGAAGGAAAAAACCAAGATGGATGTTACAAGAGACTGGAGAAGGGTATCATGTTTGGTAAAGTGAGTCAGAGAAAGAGAAGACCCCCCTCAATGAGGTTAGATAGATTGGCACAGAGGCAGCAAGAATGGGCTCAGGCGTAGCAACAAATTCTGAGATTGGCACGGAAGCAGGCAGTGTTTCATTCTGTTGTGCATAGAGTCGTTATGGGTCAGTACCGACCTGATGGTACCTACCAACCACCACCACCCTTGGCAACTTAGAAAAAAAGTAATCTGCTCAAGCATGACTTTCAAGAAGTGTTTTTAAACACCCAATAATATGTCAAGAGCCTGAATTTGGAGCATTCAGATCTATGTAAATATTTTTATTTATTACTTTGTAAAATCAAAATTTTGAGGAAGTAACTTGTGGGGCAAGGGCTAATTTATTCACATTAACACTGGCTCCTTTGAATCTTTCTCACATTGTTTTCCTAGTTTCAAATCAGCTAGTGTTTTCAGGCAATGCCATTTAATCATTTTAGAAAAAGGCAAATCCACTCCACTACAAAACTTACTGTTGTGTATTAGCAAATAAAAATATTTTATGACTGCACCATTTAAACTGTAGTCCAGTATCATGGACCAGTTTAAAAACACAGATCCCTACAGAAAACATGGTAGAAATTAAAGGAGAGTGAGGGAATCAAAAACACCGTATTAACAGCCATATCAAGTAAACAGGGTCTATTGCTTGGGTCTGGAGTCATGGTGTGGCGCTGTGGGTTAATGCGTCAGACTGCAAAGTCATTTGAACTGCATGGTTCAAGCTCACCAGCTGCTCCTTGGAAACCCTATACAGGGTCACTAGGGGTCAGAATCGACTTGACAGCACTTAACATTGCTTGGGTATGGTATGGTGCTGTAGGATAATCACTGGACCACAAGGTCGGCATTTCAAATTCACCAGCCACTCCTAGGAAACCAAACCCTATGTAAGGTCACTATGAGTCAGAACTGATTTGAAGGCACTTAACATTGCTTGGGCTTCAGAACCAACTCTAGATGGAAACTCTTCTTTTACCTTCAACTTTAGACCTTTTACCAACTAACAGCAATCCCCTTGGGTGGGACCAATGGTTAAGTGCTTGGCTAATGGAAAGGTTGATGGTCTGAAATGATCCAAAAGTATCTTAGAAGGCCTGGCAGATGCTCTACTCCCAAAAGTCATTGAGAACCCTGTGGAATGTATAGTTCTACTCTGAAACACAAGGGATCATCACCATGTCAGAATAGCCTCTATGACAACTGGTTTGGTTTTTTTGGTAGGTACTGCGCAAGTGCACTCTAGAGTCTTGGTGTCTCGCTGTAGGACAAGCAATTCACTGCTACCCACAAGGGTCAGCAGTTCAAACCCACCAGTCACTCTTTAGAAACCCCACACTGGGTCGCTAAGTGGAATTGACTCGAAGGCACTGAACAGCAAGTGAACGCTAATACTTGAGTGTCCATGCGACTGGCAGAGCATTGGGAATTTCAAATACTAAGATACTATGTTTTCAAATGTTCTCATGACTAGTAATGCAAAACAGATTATGTGGTTCTGGATGTAAGGGAGTAAAAAAAACTGAAACTAAAAGTTGTAGTTAACGACTTCTGAGAAAGTTTACTTGTATGGCAAATTTTAAATCTTTAAGATGAGGCATTAGCAATTGCATATAGAGTGCAGTTAGTCAGGATTCTATGATCATTTTACTTTTGAAAATTAAAGAAATACAAGCCACAGGAAAGTTTTTCTCTAAGGAAAGGTGGCAATACAAAGTAACTATATAAGCATACAATAGCACAGCTAAACATGTAAATAGATAACTAAAGAGAGAATTCAATTTGCCACATCTTCATAAAGAAAATAGAAGTAGTAAACAAACCATTCCCCCTATTTGCAAACATTAAAGAGTCCTCACACCAAGCTAATTTAAATGTTTAGTTTATACAATTGATAATTCCGCAAACTCCACAATATAAATGCAATAACTACATGTTAAATATTGTAATAAAAATAAACAGTTTTAGAATCAGTTCTATAATGCATTAAGAGTAGTCTAAAAAACAATTTTGACTAAAAGGCATATTTAATAAATTAGGGAACAGCTAAATCGCCAATAATTTGGGATAGAATTTGAATTTTCATAGTATATACACAAAAGCAATAGAAACAAAATGAAAGAAAACATAAATGACTACATTGTTGTAGCACAGAAAAAACTGGATGTTACTAACAATTACATCCTCTTTCCTGTAGCCTGGAAGAGAATAGTAGTGTGTAGCCAGGCATGAAGAACAATCTCAGTATCTGAAGTCAATCTTCAACAGGAAGTAGAGACCACAACTTACTGTCAGTAAGCAACTTACTGTGATTTCACACCATATGTGGAAGTAAGAAATTTTTTAAAATTAAAAGGCACACATACGTTAATTTTCAAATATTCTAAGTCCAGGTTACCTTCTCAGATACAATGTTAAAAAAATATGTATAGCAAAACAGTTTTAAAAGAAACATTCCCCAAAACTTGAATACAGAACTTAACAATAATGGGTCTGCAGCAAAAAAAATTTTTAAAAAAATAATAAAAAAAATTAAAAAAGGGATGTAAGAATCATGAAATAGAGCTAACATTTAGCGATTTGAAAAAGATTGAGAGACAACTTATATTCTTTTGGAAAATAAAGTGAATGTTTGATTTTAGAATAATAGGTACCATGTTTACTAAAAGTCAGTTTTTACTACAGTTCATGCTTATTTAAGATTCTATCTTTAAAGATATTTAAACTGCTGATTTTATTCCTTTACCACATTGATTCATCAAAGAGCTCAAAACTAAAGCAACAGCGTTTTCTTAGCATGCACACACAAAATTATCTACCATTTAATCATTGGATTATTTAACTTACTTTCAATTTTAAGGAATTACCAGCCAAACTGTCTCAAAAATATTGGGGAACATTTTCTCTACTTTGAAGACATGTTTATGCATCTCAGATAGCACTTTTATATTCATATCCTTTTCTTGAATAAATGTTTTAATACCAGTATATATAAACAAATGAAAGATAAATGACTAAGGTTCTCATGTATAAGTGGAAGAAAATTTACCCATGTCACATGCAAATCAAAATAACCCTTGTAAAAAGCTTTAAATGTGTCTGTCCCAAAAATAAACGTGCAGATGCCCTGTACTGAAGATGGTGACTTAGTTAGTCAAAGTACAAGTTCTTTCTGATGGCCTATTTTGAAAATAATCTTTTAGAAGCATTTTTTTCCTAAACTTTATTCAGCATAATTTATGGTGATAATACTTACATCCTAAAACAGAGGCACAGGTTTGAAATTTTAAACTTTTTTTCCTGGGTGTTGTTAGTCAGTCTTAAAGGTAATACTGATGTCATAATTGCTTTATCATCATAAAGTAGGTATTTGTAAAAATAGGCATTAAATTCTAATTCACAAGTATATTTAATGTACATATAAACCCTAATTTAAAAGTATAAACGAGGAGGAGATACAGCATAGTTCCAAGACTTCTAAATTGTTGACCATCAAAAAGTAAACCACCCTCTCAAGACTTAACAGAAATTTAAAAAAAAAAAAAAAAAATTGCTTAAAACATATGAATTTAAGACTTGACTTTATTCAGCAAAATCATGTATTTACACAATGGGGAATGCTGGTTTGATTTTGGTAATGAAATAAAAACAAATTGAACAGAGACAATACTGAACTGTATATATATTCTGCATCAGAGTTGACCAATTGTTTCCTTACCTGTATCAGGAACACCAAGAGCAAGAGTATCATAAGGACACTGGTTTGACAATACACCACACAGGTCCAGTAAGACCCTGGGAATTTTCCAATGCAATTACCAACTTTTCCTTTTTTTATAAATATATTAAAAAAAACAAAAGTCAGCAAAACCAGCATTATGGTGTAATAAGCAGAGTATAACTCTGAAGTCAGTGAGTCATTAAACCTTATCAGACCATCCAGAGTTTATACAAGGTGATCTGTTCTTCTTCAGACCACGAACACACATTCCAAACAGGTGAAAATATATGACTTTGTAGAAGCCAACAATGATCTGATAAGGATTTAACTTAATGGAAGTTAAAGGGAAAAAAGGAATTGCAGAGCATAGCCCCTATTAGAACAAGCTAGTTTTCCATATTTTCCAAATTAAAATAACAAAAAAACAAAACAAAAAACCACTTCAACATGAAGCTACCATACAAAGTTTTTCCTTTTTTTTTTTTTTAAAAAGTTCAGTGTTTGCAAGTTAATCCTGGGTTTTTAATGTGAAGGACAGTTTGGGCCTGGACTTCCCCTTGCCCAGGATAATTTTTTGTTCTTCCTTTTGTTGACGCTGTCGCT